TATATCATTAAATCCTCATGAACAGTCTCATGAGATGTTATTATCCCCCATTTTACAGATTCAGAAACAGATATAGAAGGGTGTTTGGAGGATACTCCCAGGAGAGGAGATGCAGGCTGAAAGTAGACTATGGACTGAACATGCTTGCCACTCAATGCCTCTTTTGCTGACCACGACACCCAAAAGGAGAGAGAGAACATGGGGGAATGCCCTGCCACAGTGGCAGGGTGGGATGGGGGGTATGGGGGGGAGGGATATTATCCATGGTGGCGGAAAATGGGCACTGGTGGAGGGATGGGTATTTGATCAGTGTATAAACGAAACCCAAGCACAAAAATTTGTAAATCTACAACTGTACCTCATGGTGTTTCACTAATAAAAAATAAAATTAAAAAAAAAAGAAAGCAACACCAAAAAAAAAAAAAAAGAAAAAATAAGAAACAGATATAGGCGAAGTAACTTTAATTTTTTAAAATGTTTTTTAAATTTTTTATTTTAATTGAATCACTGTGAGATACACAGTTGCAAAGATGTTCATATTGGATTTCAGTTGAAGTAACCTTTTTGTTTTGGGGCCACACACAGGGATCCCCAGGGTTTCTCCTGGGTCTGTGCTCATGGATCACTTCTGGTGGTGTTCCGGGGACCATATGGGATGCCAGGGATTAAACAAGGTCAGCTGCAAGCAAGGCAAATACCCTATCTGCTGTATTATCTCCCTGGCCCCGGCACATGCTTTTCTTAAAGGGATACTCGTGACTGAGTCTGATACTGACAGGTGGGGAAACAGAGCATCAATCTTAGCTTTAACTTCTGATCTTCAGGCGACTTTAGAAATTCTTCTAAGTGGGTTGTGCGCTTGCCTTTTATACAGCTGACCTGGTTTCAATCCCTGATACCCCACAGGGTCACCCAAGCACCACTAGGAATGACCCCTGAGAGCAGAGCCAGGACTAAGCTCTGAGCAAGGTTGGTGTGACCCCAAAACAAAATGCAAAAAACTGGGAATACTCTTAAATTTTTCATTCTTTGCTCAGAATATTTTTGTCGGAGCCGGGGAGCTTGCTCAAAGCACTGGAGCACATGTCTGTATACCCGAGGTTCTTCCTGGCTGGGCACTGCTGGGTCTATTCCTGGGGGGCCTCTGAGCACTGTTGCACCCCTGCCCCCAGTGTTTGCCATGCTGCCCAAATCTGTGCAGGAAGCGTGTGGCTTCGTGTTTGCTTTAAGCAGGCGCCAGCCCTCCGTGGACCCTCCTCCGTGAGCAGGAAGGTTCTGGCTTTCTCACGGAGAGCCCACTTCACTGCCCACGTCTGTTTCCCCCTGGCTTCCCAATACCCAGCTAGGAATAGAGCCTTGCCAGGAAGCGGGGACTTGAGTGGAAGGTTCCCGGAGCATCCTTATAAATCCAAGGAAGTCGGCCAATCAAGAGTCACGGGAGCCAGGAGTCCTCAGGGAGCTGATCTTCGGGCCTGGTGCAGTCTGGGCGGGCCTGAGGCTCTCCCGGCCAGCCCCGGCGGGAACAGGCTGCAGACTGGTTCTCAGAGGACTTTGTCCTGTGATTGAAGCCAAGCAAGGCCGCCAGACCCAAATAAAAACACACACTCACTGTCCCCTCTGCATCTGAGACCTATTCCCACGCAGTCCCAGGGCAGCCGGAAGGGCAACTGGTCATGGGAACGGCCTGAGCCCCCTCCCCCAACGGCCACTCCATCCGGCTCCATTTACTGCAGCTGGCCACCCCCTTACTATTCCCAGGGAAGGAAATCGTGAACAATGTGGCACATCAGAGCGTGGGCCCTGAGCTGGCCGGGACTCTGTTCCCCTCCCACTGCACCCTCACCGCCCGTGGTTCCCAGGGGTTGGCCTTGAGGAGTCTTAGCGCGTCCGCCTCACCAATGTGGCTAACAAGACTCTTTGCTTTTCTAGGCTGGCCCTTGGCCCACTGTGTGGTACCCAAACTTCAAACCCCATTTGGGTGTGATGCCCCGAATGATGTGCTGAGCTAAGTCTTTTCTCTTTCCTTTTTTCTTTTTTTGCTTTTTGGGTCACACCCGGCAATGCACAGGGGTTAGTCCTGGCTTATGAACTCTGGAATTACTCCTGGCGGTGCTCAGGGGACCATATGGGATGCTAGGAATCGAACCCGGGTTGGCTGTGTGCAAGGCAAACACCCTACTGGCTGTGCTATCGCTCCAACCCTGCTAAATCTTCTCTTGTTTTGTTTTGAGGCCACTCCTGGTGGTGCTCAGGGCTTACTCCAGGCTCTGTGCTCAGGGATCACTCCTAGCAGGGCTCAAGGGAATTGAACCTGGGTCAGCTGTTTGTAAGGCAAGTGCCTTTCCTGCTGTCCCATATGTCCAGATCCCAAGGCTGAGCTGTGATGGAGATTTGGGCCAGTGGGGATAACTGTGGTTAAAACATCCATTTCCCCCTGAATTTTTCTCTGGCGGGAAAAGGGGTCCTGGGAGAGGAGAATGGAGTGCTCTGGGCTGGGTGAGGGCAGGGCAGTGCTCCAGGGGCTGCGGGACAGAGGCACAGAGCATGGTCCTAGTCATTTCCGGTTTTGGGGGGCTGTGAAGCTGGTGGGAACTGCTGCGCTTGATTTCCTGCTGCTCTGAAACACTGCTCGGTAGGGTCGCCTCGGTAGGGTTGCCCTCACTCTAGGCGCTTGTGTCCCAAGGGCCTCACTTTCCACAGACACTTCCAGCTGTGGCCAACCTGGAACAGTCTCCCCTCTCCCCTGTCCTGGCTGGCCCCACTCACAGTGGGGTGTGGGGTGAAGCAGGCCCAGTGGCCTGTCACTGGATCAACCCTCAGCGCCTTCTCCCACACCCTCTGTGCATCTGGGCGGGGGGATGAGCCCTGAACTCCAATCTCTCCTGACATTTGCTATCACCCTCAAGTTGATTTGTGTCCTTATAGTAGCTGGACTGAACAACACAAAGTCACTTGGAAACCTACAAGGTCTTCCAGTGAAACAAATGCTCAGGAGTCCACTTCCAGCCTCACCCACGAGAAACTGGGGTGCACAGGGCCCAGCCTAACCCAAGGTCAACAACCCAGGAAGAAGGACAATTTGCCCCCTCAGGTTTTCTGGTGCAGACCATGTCTTTTGTTGTCTGTTCTTGGGTCATACCAAGCTGTACTCAGGGCTTACTCCTGCATCTGTGCTCAGGGATCACTCCTGGCAGGCTTGGAGGACTATATGGGGTGGCAGGGATTGAACCTGGGTTGGCTGCATACAAGGCAAATGTGATTTAACTCTTGTAGTATTGTTCTGTCCCATACACTCTTCAGCTATCTCCATCGTCTCACCTCCCCACACCCATCCCGGTCTCCCACGCCGCAGATGCTGATCTATCCACTCTATTCAAGAATTATTTTTCCTTTTGGGTCACACCCAGCAATGTTCAGGGGTTCCTCCTGCCTCTGCATTCAGGAATTACTCCTGACGATGCTTGTGGGACCGTATGAGATGCCGGGGATTGAACCCGGGTCGGCTGCATTAAGGCAAAACCCTACCCGCTGTGCTATCACTCCGGCCCTATATAAATTTTGTGACATAAAAATATGATTCAGTGGGCTCACACTGGAGGTGCCCTTCTCCTGTCAGTACCAATGCAGATGGTTATGCAAATCTGGGCTCAGTAAGTTGCTGGGGGCTCTGTGCTGGGTTCACATTCTGAGTGTATCTCCATTTAACTGCTCATCTGTGGAAGGTCATCTGGGATGATTCCAGTTGGGGTTGTTACCAATAAAGCTGCAGTGACCATCAGACTTTGTGTAAGCAGAAGTTTGTATTTCTTTGGGCATGATGCCCAAGAGTACCAGTTCTGGGGAATGTGGCGTGTTCTAAGAAATCAACTGCTTTCTAGAACAACTGTGTTGTTCTTTTTTCTTTTGGAGTGGGATACTCATCCATTTGTGCTCGGGACTTACTCCTTGATCTTTGCTCAGGGATCACTCCTGGAGGGATTTAGGGGATCGTATTGGGTGCTGGGATCATAGATACAGAGTTATTTGTCAGCCATGTGCAAGACAAGTGCCCTATCCACTATACTGTATCTCTGGCCTCTGTGTTCCTTTATCCACAGGCCATTCCTAATTCTCTAGTTGTTTTTTTTTCTATGCAGCCTCCTCAGACCAAGCACTTCCATTGTGATGCATTTGTCTGTCAGATTGTGACATCTGGGGCAGGAACTTCCCTGGTTGATGGCTGAGTACTGGACTAGCACGTGCTTGGCAGGTTCAACTTAGGGTTGAAACCAGGAGTGGGATGGGAGGTGGCCTAGGGTTGTCAGTCCTCTCCTCTGACCGCTGACTGCAGAATCGGGAGCTCTCTGGGGACGTGGAAATGCATGGGGTCGGGTCTGCAGTGACCTCGGTCCTTAAACTGTCCTCTGGGCTACTGATGTAGTAAAAAGAATCTTCCACGACAGTGATTAGATCCATGGAAATCTGCTTCGCATGACACAGGCCCTGACTGGCCTTGACCTGAGACAAATAAGCAGAGATCATTCTGAGCTGACAGCGGTGGCAGGAGCCGAGGCGACCACGCGCCAGGGTTGGGGTTCAGCATGGGAATGGTGCTAAACTGTGCGAAGCGCTTACATCTCCCACTTGATTTTCTTTACAACAAAACATCCTCCCAGGGCTTTAAGTCCCACTCAGACACGGAGTGAAGGCGACAAGTAGGTTGCGTCAATGCTTAGAAAACGACTTGCAATCCAACACTGACGCTGGGTCACGTCCCCTCGGCCACCGCTACGGCCCCAGCCCCCGCCGGGCCCGGAGCGGCTCCGCCCCCAGGCCCCGCCCACTCCTGCGCGCGGCCCTCGCCCGGCCCGCGGCGCGCCTGCGCAGAGGCGGGCGGCGCTGCGCCCTTTGTTGTGGGGCCCCAGTTTCCCAGGATACCGCGCGGCGCGGGCCGGGCTATGCAGATGAGCGGCGGGGGCGGGGCGGTTGCGGCGGCAGCGGCGGCGGCGGCGGCGGCGGCGGCGGCGGCCGGGGAGGGTCAGTTGGAGGCAGGCGCTCGCCGAGGCAGGAGCTGGGCGCTGGGCCCGCGGCCTGACAGGGACTGAACCCGCAGAGACCGGCCCCGCGCGCGCGCGACCCCGCACCCACCCTCATAGCCACCCACCCGCTCCCCGCGCCGCTCCTTCCCGGGCAGAGTCGCCGACGATGATAAACACCCAGGACAGGTAACGGCCCGGCCCGCTCCCCGCCCCCGGCCGGCTCCTCCCTCGCCGCCGCCGCCGCCGCCGCGGCCCGCGGGCCCCACGCCCCGGGAGGCCCCGTCCGCCCGCCCGCCCCGGGCCCTGTCCGGCCGGCCCCGGCCCCGGCCCATCCCCCCACCCCCCCCCCGCGGCCGCGCCTCCCGAGCCCGCGGTCGGCCCCGACCTTCCCGGCCGGGGGACGCGGCCTCCGCGCCGCCCCGGGCCCCCGGGGCCTCTCCCCGCTCCCCCTTCCGCCCCTCCGGCCTGACCCCGACCGCCGTCGCCCGCCCGGGCCTGCGCAGGGGACCCGCCGCCCCTCCCCCACCCGATGCTGTCGCGGGGCCCCGGCCCCGGCCCTGCCCTCAGCCCCCGCCGGCATCTTCCCGCGTCTCCCGCAGCCGCCGGCGCGCTCGGGACTGGAACTTCTTTATCCCCGGCGGCCCGTCGGGACCCTTCCCGGCCCAGGCCCCGGCCCCGGCCCCGGCGCGGCGGCGCTCCGCGTCTGGGCCCCCAGCCCAGCCCCCCTCCCCGCAGGGCCGCACCCCAGCCCTGCTCCTTGGGCCCCTCCTCCACTCCCCGCCTCGGTCCGTGTCCCCCGAGCCCCCCGCCCCCTCCTCCGGGGCATCCTTTTCCTACACCCGCTCCCCGCTCCCAGCCCGGCCCGGCCCGGCCCGGCCCTAACAGTCCTCTTTCCCCTAGACTTGTTGCTGCCCCTCAGTCAGGCCCTTCTGGCCTCCCCCGCTCGCAGCGTTTTTGCACGTTCCCAGCAAACCCTCCGCGAATTGCCCGGAGAGGGAGACTGGGCGCTTCTCAGCCTCTCCTCGGTGCTTCCCAGACCCGGACGCCCGCCCCCTCCCCCCCTCCCCGCACTCTGCTCGGTCCAGGCCCCTCGGGTTCTCCCGTGGCTGCCTCTCACATTTCCTTACCTGGCCGCACAATTCCTGCACTGAGCATCTGTGTATGCACCCCCCCCCCCCCCCCCAATTCCAGTGTGATTGGCCTGGGCTGGGATCTGCTTATTAGTAACACTGTAATTAATTTTTTTTTATACGGGTGGTGTCTGGCATGGGACCCAGAACCTCGCCAACCAGGCCAGCAACTCTGCCCCTGAGTCTCATCCGGAGCATGTATCCGTGCCTGTGTCTTTGGGGGCCGTACCTGGTGGTCTCCTGGGCTGTTCCTGCTTGTGTGCTGCTCAGAGGTGACCGCCGGCCATCCTGCGGGCTGGTGGGGATTCAAACCGAGGTCCGCTGCGGCCATTGTACTGCTTGGGCTCTCGCTGGCCTCAAGTATGGGTTTTCTGATGTCCTTTCTCTGCAGCCAGAATTGGAAACCAGGATTCCCCCTGGCCCCAAAAGACCCATCCTGTAGTCGGAGTGTGGGCGGGGAGGGGGCAGCCCTTTATCTCCTGAAGGGGCTTGTCTTCAGGGAGTTCTTAGTCTTTCAGACACTGTCCGGAAAGTATTCCCTCGGCAGCCCAGCCACTTCAGTCATTTGCAGACTTTTATGAGCCTCCCGGACCCCCTACGCCTCCTTCCTGTTCTCCCTGTCTGCGGTTCTGTTTACCTTGTCCGGGACTCAGGGCCCCACTCCCTGACCCCATCGTCGTCTCTAGCCTGTGAAGCGGGAGGCAGGAGGCCTGTGTATGTGTGGGGGGGGAGGGGGGAGGGGGGGGAGGGGAGGGACCTTGGGAAGGGGCCCATCTGGTGGAATTTCTCATCTCCCATGACAGGTGGGCTCTGGCACACTTGGATCCTCAGCGCTAACCAGGATAGAAAGCAAATCCCCTGTCAGCGGAACCCCTGGGACCATCAGCACAGAAAGGCCTTCAGGCATGAGTTCTAGTTGCCTCCCCATTCCTACCCTGACTTGGGTCCAAGGCTCCCTTCAGCTGAGTGCCAGAACAGGCTTGCCAGTTTACAGACCCGGTGGGCAGGTGATCTCCGAGGGGCTTGGCTGGCTATCCCAGGTGGGGGAGGAGTCTTGGAGCCACCCAGCCAGTTTGGCCTAGGGGTGGGGTGTGCTGGTGTCTGGTTTCCCGTTACTCCTGTTCCCAGAGCTTTTCGCATCCTCCCTGGCTGGCCATGCCTCTAAAGGAATCCTGGGAGAGCTGGAACTGGGGCTTGGATAAGAGAGGGTGTTATGGGTGTTTCGTCATGGGGCCTGGTTGGAGTGTGGCTTCCAGCTTCTCTGGCCCCCGGAATGCCCGTTGCTGGAGTTGAGTTTCCTGGAGAAGTCAGTGCTGAGGCGCCCAGCATGTGATGGGAAACAGACTCTTCCTCTCTAGCCGTTTGTGGACTCGAACCTCCAGGACAGCAGGGTTGGGGAGGTCAGCCTGGGTCTGGTACGTGCGGGCAGGAGAGCACAATGAGCATGAAGAGCCCTCACGCAGAGGCCAGAGAGAGCCTCGTACAGTTAGGAATCCCCCATCTACGCCTTATGCCTGGGAAAGCAACGTGGATTAATAATAGTGATTTTTCACCCTGCCAGGAAATCCAAATTTAGCCCCAGAGCTGTTCAGAAGTATAAAAGGGGACTGAGGATTGGGTTATAGAGGGATGGTGCATAGGTACATTTCCAGAAAAAAACAAAAACGGACAACTCATTGCTTTTAAGTGTCAATCCTAGTTGGCGTTGTGATTCTGAAGTCTAATTGAAATAAAACTACAGATCAAAAGGGCCCAGTAAGCAGGAAGAATTTTGTTGCTTGGAAAAACAAGAGGCAGTTTCCTATTAGCAGCACCAGGAGTGAACACTTTGTAGAAGATTAGGTTTCTTAGGCCTTTAACAATGAAACCACTCTCCTGGGAGGAGAGGCTGCAGCTGCCTGAGGTGCTTGGATTTTAAGAGGAAGGTTTCCTTGAACAGGATTATCCAGCTCGCAGCCACCTGTAGCCTTTGTGGTTGAACTTGCTTTGTTGGGGGATGAAGCGACATCAGCTATGTAATGAGCCAAGCCTCAGAGGCACAGATATGTTGGCTGCCCCTGGTGTATTTCTCGGGGAGAATCACCCAGAACCCAGTTTGGCATTCAGACTGTGATTCAGAGTGGTGATGTCATCTCTAGAATCGTGCTTTGTGGAGTCGCCTCCCTCTGGCACACCGTGCAGCGCTCCCCAGTGACGAGATGCTTCTGCCTGGCATCTGACCAGGTCCCTTTCTGCTGCGGGGAACCAGCTGTCCTGGTTCCCTAAACTGGAGGTGGCTCTGCGCCCGCATTTTTGCCTGTTGCCTTGTAGCTGAGCGTGATGGCTGCCCGAGTGGGCTCCTGTGTGAAGCTGCTTGTCATCAGAGGCAGTGCACGAAAGCAGGGGACCCTACGGAGCTGGTTGGGAAGCTGCGGCTCAGAGGAAGAGCTCGTGCCTTGCCCACATTAAGAGAAATTTGAAAGAAATGAGTTGGAAGAGGTTGGAAAAAAGGGGAAGGTGGCAGTGTGGATTTTGTGATGTCACTTGATATTGTAAGGTGGGTCATTCCAAGACCCTCTAGCTACTGGCAGATAACAGGTAAGGGGAATGTAGAGAAAAGGTGTGGACCTGAACAAGTCAGGCCACTGATTCAGGTGAAACCCCAGTCATGAATATGTATCAAGGTATACAAGTTCAATAGTTGCTAGGTAGATGGAAGTCAGCTGCAGAATTACTTTTGCTGTTTTTTTGTTTTTTTTTGCAACATCTGGTGAGGCTCAGGGTTTATCCTTGACTCCACAGTCAGGGATGACACCTGGCAGGGTTTGGGTTGCTGGGGAATTGTACCTAGGCCGGTCACATGCAAGGCAAATGTACTGCCCCATGTACTATAGCTTCAGTTTTTTTTTAAAAAACTAATTTTATTTCATTTTTGGGTCACACCAGGCAATGCTTAGTGCTCAGTTATCACCCCTGTTGGTGACTGTGGTGCCAGGATTATAAAACACTGGAGTCAGCACCCAGGCAAGGGCAACAGCCCTTTTTTGTTGTTGTTTGGAGGGGGCCAAATTGCCTGGTACTCAAGGGCTGTGCCTCATTTTAAAGTCTCTTTTAGAGGTGCGTGGCGTTAGACATGTGACTGATTCTGGCACCACATATGACCCCCAAGAATAGCTCCTGAGCACTGCCAGCTATGGCCCCAGAACCCCAACAATCACCACAAAGAAAACCAGTCTCCTGCATGCAAAGCATGTGTTTCCTGCCCTTTGAGCCCTCCCCCCAGCCCCTACAATTACTTTATATTAAATTCCTACTCTCATTCTATTTTCTGCCTTGAGAAAAATGGACAAATCAAACCTGACAGAAAGCCAGCTGGAAGTGTTGCTTTAGTAGGAGCACCAAGAGTAGGTACCCTGGAGATTTAAAAATAGGATTTGATTATAAAAATTTGATTTGCCAACAACAGTCCCCAGGAATATATCTGATGTCTCAAGCCAGTGTGTGAAATGATCGTCTGTTAAGGACACTGAAGACCGCGGCTTCACAGGTGGCTTTGAACGGGGTGCCAGGGTGTGCCATATCTCTGCTACTCGCTCCAGGGGACCTTGTGGGGTGCGAGGGATTGAACCTGGGCTGGCTGTGTGCAAGGCACCTCTGACCCCTTCCCTTGCCTATTTTCTTAACCACCACGTGCATACCCGTCTCTTCAGAGATGAGAGTTGGCTTTTCTTAAGAAAATCAATTTGCCATTTATTTCACCTTGCTAAAAATAGAGCATTATTATATATGGTGAAGGTGCTTATAGATTGTGATCTATGAAGCTTACCGCAGATCCCAGCAGTTTTTCCTAGAGGATCTGGCTGCCAGGGTGCCTCAGATCCCTCTCCTGCACACTGCTACGTCCTGCGGGCCCAGTGGCCAGGGGGATACTCAAAAGCATATGCATGTGATTGTCACCATGTGACTCATTAGCATGGAGGAGAGCTTGTTATCTGAAGAGCTAGAGCAGGCTGCTTGGAGTTCTGGAAAGCAGGCAGGACTGAGGGAAGTCAAAGGGGATTTTGGAGCTAGGAGTGGAAAACCCACCTTGTTCTGATTTCTTAGCGAGTTGGCTTCATGGCTTTTGCTCTTTGTGGTGAAAGTGAATACAGTGGGTTGGGGTAGAGTGCTTGATATGTGAGGGTTTCAGTCTCCACCCCGGCCGCCTGCTGAGAGCTCAGAAGACAGTGGGTGACTAGCTATCACCCTGGTTGGAGAGATTCCTTTGGAAGCAGGATCAGAAGTGAAGAGGTAGCAGTGTCATCATGTTCCGCAGGGAAGGTGTGCCTGGTGCTGGCTGGGGTAGCTTCCGACTGTCAGAGCAAGGCAGCCTGCCTGCTGCTCCTGCCAAACCTCACCCAGTTGGAAGGGGAGTGGGTGGGAGCCACACTGTGTGTATGCATGCATGTGCCGCCTCTTGTGGTGTCTCTGTGCCATCTTTCCTCGCTGGTCACTCCAGTCTCACCTGTAACACTGGTGGGGATAGGTCAGGCCGCTGGGGAAGGTGAGCATGCCCCTAGACACCCTCCAGAGAAGGTGAAAAGAAGCTTTTCACCCACAGGCCCTGATGCTGGCCTCCAGAAAGCATTTGCCTTGCACACAGCCAACCCGGGTTCGATCCCCGGCATCTCATATGGTCCACCCGTGAACTATCAGGAGTAATCCCCGAGCATTGCTGGGTGTGGACCCCTCACCCCCCATCAAAAAAAATAGTAGAAAGCATTCTGGGAACCCAGTCTTTCCAGGAAAGCTCCCAAGCCTGATTTTTGATTTTATTTCGGGTTTTTGGGCCACACACTGTGGTGCTGAGGACTTCCTCCTAGCTTTGCTTTCAGGAATCAGGGCTCACGGGATGCCGGGGATTAAACTGGGGTCAGTTGGGTGCAATGCAAGCACGTTCCTCAATGTCCTCTCTCTGGCCTAGAAGGTAGTTTCTTGTCCAGTGTTTTGGTAAAAGTGGTCCGAGTTCCTCAGGACCTGGTATTTAGCCCTTGCGACTTCTGGGAGTCCACGTCCCTCTCCAGTTGGGGTGAGGACCTGGGCTGGTGGGGTTTGAAAGACTCTTCTGCAGCTTGAGAAGTGCTTCTCTGGCCAGACCCTCCAAAGGGTCCTCTGCTCTTCTGGAACTGTCCTTGCCTCTGCCAGTGGCGGGGGGTTTCTGCCCTTGATGTGAACAGTAGTAGTTCTGGAAGCTACAGCTGCTGGCAGGGGTGGGATGGGTGACCATGTAGCCTCGGAACCCAGGTTCTAGGCGAGTGGGGCTGGAGTTGGACTCATGTCGCGGTGCTGATGTCTGCCTCTGTGCTGTCTCTTGCAGTAGTATTTTGCCTTTGAGTAGCTGTCCCCAGCTCCAGTGCTGCAGGCACCTTGTTCCAGGGCCTCTGTGGTGCTCCTGATGCCCCTCACCCACTGTCGAAGATCCCCGGTGGGCGAGGGGGCGGCAGGGATCCTTCTCTCTCAGCTCTCATATATAAGGTAAGGGGGGGGCATGAACTGGGCTCCAGCAGGGTGCCGTGGCATGTGGGGTGTTGTGTTGGGGGTCATCACTTCCCAGGATCCCAGGAGCCTGTGGTATTCTGGTCTCCTGCCTGCTGGGATTCAATATGGAGGTTGATTTTTGCTCCAGCTTGAAGCCTAAGCCTCAGATTGAAGGATAGAAGGTGTGTGGGGGGGAGGGTGGGGGGCGGCGGCGGCAAGGTTTTACCGTTTGAATTTTGGGCCACACCCAGCAATGCTCAGGAGTTACTCCTGGCTCTGCATTCAGGGATCACTCCCAGAGGTCCTGGGGGACCATATGGAATGCTGGGGATTGAACCCGGGTCGGCTATGTATATATAAGGCAAGTCACGCGGACTACTTGCCCATCTGCAGGCCTCTGTGCCCAGTAAGAGGGTCTGCATGTAGCCAGCATGTGCCACCATCCACTTGGACCAAGGGGCCTGTCAGCACCTCCTGGGTGGGAGCATATGATGTGACTAGAAGCAGTGAGTTCTCTGCTCCCGCCTCCCAGGACGAGAAGCTCACTGTGACCCAGGACCCCCCTGTGAGTGATGGAAACCCTCACATCGTCCACTTCCGGTATGAGGTCAGCGAGGTGAAGGCCTCCTCCTGGGATGCAGTCCTGTCCAGCCAGAACCTGTTTGTAGAAATCCCAGATGGATTATTAGCTGATGGGAGCAAAGAAGGGTAAGGAGCAGGTGGGAGGGCAGGTTCCAGGAGTAAAGGGCAAGAAGGTCCCATTGCAGGGGCGGAGGACGTAGGTAGTCTGCCTTCTCCTAACCCTTGGCCTTCCAGCAGGCACCATGTGGCAACAGGTGTCTATCTGGGTAATAATAAAAGCATATTGGATCCATCATTTAACCACTGTGTTGTGGTCCCTTTGTCCCGATGGACATGAAGTCCTTGAGCCACCAGTGATGCTGTTGAGAGGGCCAGGAAGGATGGACGAGGGGGACACAGTACAAGACAGTCCCCTCCATTGTATTCCACTCCTTGATGACGCCCTTGAAGGCAGTTTGAGGGCTAGAGCCCCTCTGGCTCTCATTCTCGGCAAACTTGGCAGTGGCGCAGAACAGGGCCTGCTTCCTAGCTACCGTAGTTTCTGTGCACCGAGTCTGTTATTTTTAAGGACTCCTATTCTGGGAAGAGAATCTAGGATAATTTTTGAGATCGTAGCTTTTTTATTTGAATTCGGGATCCCAAGGATTTTGAAACTGGCACCTTCCCCCTGGAGCATCTTCCCTATTTCGAAGGCCGGCTTTGAGCCCCAGGCAAGCCTCTTGTGAGAGTGGGGGTTCTGCTGAGGTGGGAGTGGGCCCGAGTTTCCGCTTTGCCTCTTGCAGATTGTTAGCACTACTAGAGTTTGCTGAAGAGAAGATGAAAGTAGACTATGTCTTCATCTGCTTCAGGAAAGGCCGGGAAGACAGAGGTGAGGACTGTGATCTGAGCCATCCTCCAGACTGGGGGACGGGCAGGGAGCGGCACTCACGACCCAGAGATGGGGTCAAGTTCCCTACAAATTGGGAAGTCACTGTGGGTGGAGGGCAGGTGCGGGGCTCTTTCCTGGACGCCTAGCGCTAATTTCTCACAGCTTCGTTTAGAGTTTTCTCGCGCGTTCACGTGGGTTCTTTGTTCTCTTCTCTCTTTGCAGCTCCACTTCTGAAGACCTTCAGCTTCTTGGGCTTTGAGATTGTGCGTCCAGGCCATCCCTGTGTCCCCTCTCGGCCAGATGTGATGTTCATGGTTTACCCCCTGGAACAGCACTTGTCCGATGAAGACTAGTGGTAACAGAGGATGCTTTGCCCGAGAGCCGCAGTGAGGGCAGAGGGGGATCCAGGCAGCCCTGGGACAGAGGAGGGGGCTCCATGCTGTCTAGGGGAAGACGCTGAGGGGCTCAGGGTGAGGGTCGCCTGTTACGTTCTCAGAGTTGACTCGTTGAAATTGTTTTCCATAAAGAACAGTATAAACATATTATTCACATGTAATCACCAATAGTAAACGAAGATGTTTCTGAACTGGCATTAGAAGCTTTTTACCTGCGCTGCGTGATGTGCTCTATCTAGCCTGGGAGGACTTGCCTGGAAGAGGGGGAGCTGTCGGGGCCAGGCCCACACCCGAGCTAGTGGGCAGCCCCACAGATGCAGTGTCCCCTGCGGGTGGGCTTGCTTTCTCGGTTTTTAAGACTTGTGTATTTTCTTTCCTTCTTTTCAGCCTCTGGGTAATGTCCTTGAGTTTTTCAGACACGCCACACCTGGGCCTCTCTGTGCTTTGTGTCTGGCCCTGAGAAAGCCCGCCTGGCTCCTCCTTTCCAGCTTAGTGTTTTTCCGGCATTTGGTTAAACTGGCTTAATCTGTTTCATGTTATCAGTGCATTTTAAATAGGGTCACTGAAGTTCACCCCCACCACCAGTGCTTTATTGGGGGTTCCTGGGCCTTACAAACACTAGCCAAACTCCAGTTATCAAAAACATCATGGCCAGAAGTTCTTGCTCTTGCTACAGGCCCAGGCCCCAGGTTCTCCTGCCTAGGGCCACGGAGAGCAGAGGAAGAGCAAGCCCAGGGCTGGCTGGGATCCCGGAGACCCCTCCTGGCTTAGTGGCCGACTTGTAGCCACACCAGCTTGTGAGAGTCAGTGCCTGAGACCCTGCTCTACAGGGTGGAGGTGGGCAGAAGTGGCCTGCCCACTGCTGTGGTCACTGACCAGCATGTTCTAAGCAGGAGGTAAAGGGGAAAAGATCAAGATTGGGTAAGGGGGGCCCGTGGGGGTGCCAGGGAGGCAAATGTGTGTTGTGTTACTGTGTCAATAAACTGATTTAAAGTTGTGGTTGGTCTTTTCTTTATTCCTGTAGCAGAAGCATCTTCCCAGCACCTGTACTCTTTTAAGTTTAAAGCAGTAATGTCCTTGATATTATCCCCCCCCCCCCCCCCCCCCCCCCGGGACAGATGATCTGCCACACTGTTTGCTCTAAGAAGGTATTTTAAGCAAAAGAGTTTGGGAACCTTTGGTCTAAAGCCTGAGAGGGGTCTGACCTCTGCAAAAAGTTGCGGTCTCTGGGGTCATATTACATTGTAAACCACAGGTTGCTAGGTGTCTGAGCCACACTGCCAGAGCCCCCTAGGGACAGGCTGTGTTGTACACATCAGCTTCCTTCAGTAAACAGGCCACACTATGAATTCAAGCCATTTTTATGAAGCTCACCTGCTTTGTCCCCCTGTGATAGGGCTCACTGTGCTTTGTGCATATAAGGCATAAGCCTTACCACTAAGACCATGTCGCTAGCAGGCCAGTTCTCAAGGACTTACCCTTTTTGCTCTGTTGCTCCAAATGAAGAGCTGAGCACATTCTTGGATCTTATATCTCCTACAGTTCAAGAACTTTAGGAAGTGAGTGCATCACCTTTAACGACACAAAGCGGGACCAGAACCTTGAGAAGTTTAGTTAAGGGCTTCAAGGGCTGGAGAGACAGTACAGCAGGGAGGGCGTTTGCCTTGTGCGTGGTCCACCTGCTTTTGATCCCTGGCATTCCAGTGTGGTTTCCAGAGTACTGCCAGGAGTGATTCCTAAGTGAAGAGCCGGGAGTAAGCCCTGAGCATCACCAGGTGTGGCCCCCCCAAAAAAGGGGCTTGAACTGTCCACCAATGAGCTGCATCAAGGAAGAGCGTGATTTACAGCAGCAACCCTTAGGCTTCTGGCTAGCCAAGTAAACCTTTTAGGATTGGGATGTGAAACTCCAAACCCAGGGATCACCAAGACCAGGATCAAGCAGCAAAACAACTCCATTTTTTCCTGGCTCTGAGTTCCTCTGCCACCTGCTGGCGGATCCTCTTCAGTAAGGGTCAAGTTGAGCTGAACCACAAATACAGGCACTCACTGAAGACAGGAAAAACCTTTGCTAGATAGGCCCCTGGAGGGAAGGAAGGTCTCCAAAATTCATACTCAACTGAAACAGCCACATAGGTGAGAATTTTGGGAGTGGTGGTGAGACGGGAGATGCGTGAAAGGCAAACTAAGTCTAAATATAAGAACAGGGACATTAAAAACTTTATTCAATAAATACAACAAATAATTTAAAAATATACTTCAATTCCAAAGCCAATTAAGAAAAGGAAGTAGAGAGGTTAAAAAGGGTGGTAAGGGAGGAGGAAGTCAGAAGCAGGAGAAAGGTAAGGGGGAACAATGTTTTTCAAGGTGGAACGAAATGTACTACCCTCTGAATCGGTGAGCAAATGCCTTCAACCCATAACCCTTAGCCCTGGGTTGGATGGATGGGAGAGCCCCGTAGGAGTCCATCAGCCAGGAATGATTCTCTGAGTTCTGGATTTTGAGCACTCTGGGCTGGAATCAGGTTGGGGGTGCAGCTAGGGGGTAGGTCCCCACTCTGCTAAGAATCACCGGTTCTAACTCCCAGGCAGGTTGAAGAGTGCACACTCTCAGGCAGAGAGATGGCAGCTGCATAGTTTCACAGGTGAGTGTCCAAAGCCACTTTGGTGAACGGGCTAAGGGAGAAGAGAGGAGAGCCAGGCCCAGCTGCAGGGAAGCCAGTGGCCAGACTGGCAGACACTGCTGGGCAGGGGATTGGGACACTGAATTCTGCAGCTTGCCATCGGCTAGTGCTGGGCCTGGAGCAGGCTAGGAAGATCAGGGAAGCTGGGGGGGAGGGGGGAGGCAGGCGGCGGGGAAGGGAAGGGAAGGGAATGGTGAAGAAAGGAGGCGGCTCAGCAGCGACTCCAGGAGAAATAACCAGCAGCCCTCACAGATTTGTGATTGTCTCTTAAAAAGATTTATTTTCTCTTCTTGCCTGAATGTACAAAGGCAAAAAGAGTACAGTTTGTATATATATATATTTATATATATATATACATATATATATATAAAAAAAAAACAAGGAACTTGTAATGTACACTTTACAGAAGGGAAGAATCAGGAAGACTGAAATTAAATGCAACAGAGCAACGCCAATGGAACAAAAGCTATGAACAGTAACACCGCCCCTCCAGCCCGGGCCTCCAGCTCGCCCCAACCTGTCCCCAAAGGGGGCTGAGCACCAAGGCAAGCGGGTGGGCTGGGGCAGGAGGGGCCTGGGGACAGGGCTTGGGAGGGCCTGTGGCAGAGAGTCACTGGGAAGCTCCCTGGGGTGCCCTAGTGAGAAAGCAAATGACAAAGGTCCAGAACTGTGGGGCCAACTAGCTGCCTGGTTGAGTCTGGGGAGCAACAGAATGGAAAGCAAAATGGGGGCAGGGGACATGAGACAGTGACAGGTGACCTCAAAGCCCACAGTGACTTTAGCCCTTCTGTGGAGCCCAGCCCGCCACCCTGCCTTGGAAAGCGGAGATGCAAGAACGACTTTTCTCTTCACAAGGTGCCGTGGCCCCGTCTCAGGGAGGGAGGACAGAGAAGGCATGAAGAGGACAACGGCCTGAGCATCTGAGGGCCTCGAGGCAAGGCTCTTCCCCAGGGTGGCGCCTTCTCTGGAACTCGGGTGGGCTGAGAGGGGGCTCAGAGAGCCTGGACCTGGTGGTCTGGGTCCGACTCTCCCACTGTTCTTGTGGGATGCGGTTGGGGCTCCCCGGACCAGGTCACAGGTCTCATGCACGGGGTCCTGCTCCCTCCGGGAAGGACAGCAAGTCCTTCGCTCAGTGTCTGCATACCAGGCCACTGTGTCACGGCTCTTGGCCCGAGTGAGCCAGGATCCGAGAACTGTTTCTTCAGGGAAAATAAAAGGGCTGGTCCCTCGGCCGACCGAGGCTGCCCCGGTCCCCAAGTGGACGGGTGCAAGGGAAGCAGACGGCTCGGCCAAGGCTGGGGTCTTTACAGTATGTACAGAGCAGTGCTACGGGCACAAAACACACAATGATATTGAAAACAACCGGGACAGAACCTGGAGGGCCACACCAGGCTGAAACTCAGTCGCCCCCTGACTCAAGTGGGTCAAGCTGTCTGCACCATGACGACTTCCATGCTGCTCAGAAGCCTGTCCCCCACACAGCCGGGGCACAGGGGGCTGGGGAGGGCTCAGAACCCAAACTGGACAAAAACGAAGATGTGGGAACTGCGGGGGAGGGCTGGAGGGACCCCATGGCTCTTTGAAGCTGCGCTGTGGGGCCCAGTCCCTGTGCTCTCCAGCCTCAACGCCCATCTCTGGCATCAGATGGGACCTGGCCCGAAGGTCAAGCCAAAACAGGAGGACAAAGGACAAGAGCACAGGCGCAGAGAGCTATGGCTCCCCGCTGAACCCAACATTCGGCAGCTCGGAGAGCTTGGGATGGGAGGGCGGAGAAGCAGCCCCCAGGGTGAAGGGATCACAGAGACCCCAGGCAGTGGCCCCTAGAAGATGGGGTCCCAGAGAAACAGCTCACACGGCGGAGAGGGCCTGGCCTGGCCAGCTCTGAGCTCCCTGTTCTGCCCGAGGCTCAGGAGCCGAGCAGCTGAAGAGAGAGAGAGCAAGTGTGGGGACCTCTGGGAAAGGCACCAGGAGGGACCAGGAGGGGGGAGAGGAGGGTGCGCAGTTGAAGGCTAAGAAGCAGCAGGATGCGGTGGGGATGCAGGTGCTTTTCCACAGGCTCCGTCCACGCTCCAGCTCCAGTGCTCCCACGCTCCCAAGGCCCCCCTGCCTGACGGTACCCAGGCCTTCTGGGGGTTATCTGGGGACTTCCATCCAGGTGCAGCGACCAGCATGCCTATGTGCTCATGTCAGAGGGGAGAAGCCTTCGAGTCAGAAGGCCTTATTTTCACCAAGACAGAGAAAACAGCCCCCCAACTTCTTTCCTGAGATTCTAATTCTTCCACGTGTGGTCAGCTCCCGGGGCTCCACCGAGGAGGGACACGGGATCTGGTAGTGGCTGCTGTGCTGTCTTCAGACCTGACCCAGCACCGGGCCCTCCGGGGCACTGCCAAGGACTTGGGGAACAGAGCAGTGACTTTGCGGGGCAGAGGCCCTGCTGCCCTGGTGGCTCCAGAGGCCACACCACTCACGACTGTGGCCAAGAGAATAAATATTTTTGCTAAGAACCAGCTCTCCAGCTCCTGAGGAAGAGGCGGGTCAGAGTCCAGGGGTCTGGTGGAGGCGGGATAGCTGAGGGTCTGCCTCTGGCCAGGGCAGGAACGCCAAACAGGAAGATCAACACCATTTAACTGATGTCTAAGTGGCACCTCGAGCACCTCCTTGGGTGGGCCGATCTGGGCCCGTGAAGCTGACTGTGTCCGGGCACTTGGTGGTCTGCAAGGAAACATGGACAGTGACCGGGCACTTAGCCGGCTGTATGACCTCCAGCAGGTGGTGCTCCAAGAACATGGATGGCAGGACGCTGGCAGGGCCTGTTCCCTGGGGCCTTTCCACAAGTGGGGGGCGAAGGGGGTGGAAGAGGGGGCGGGGGGAGGGGCTTCACAGCAAAAGGAGAAGAAGCCTGGCCAGGGGCTCCCATTTCCACACCCCAGCCCTGCTCAGCTGTCCCTCACTGGAGCTCAGCATGGTCCCTGCTGGAGGTGAGGGCTTGAATAAAACCATCACTTACCATTCTCACCTCCTGGGGGGTGGGTAGAGAGAAGGAGTCGGGCCTTGCTGGCTGGCGACAATGGCTGTGGAGGAAAGCCCTGGAGAGAGGGAGAGCAGGTCAGTGCTTGCCCAGGTAGCCTGCCCTTCACCAGCGTGCGGAGCAGAGGACAGAAGGGAACGGGAACTGGGGGAGAGCGGCAGGACTGTTCCTCAGGAGCCCACACTGATGCAGGAGGGTCAGGCTCCATCATCGGCTCGCATCAAGGGCCCAGACCCCCAACCCAAGACCCAGAGGTTATTCTCAGCAACCCATTCCTTCTGCGGGAAGCCCCTTCTTTATCTGGACTATCAAGGCCACTTTTCTGGGAGTCTGGGACTTCCCCGAGCTGCATGGGAGAAAACGAGCATCATGGGTGAAGCCCCTTACCTGTGGCGTAGGGCAGGTTGTACTGTGCCGGGAGCAGCGAGTAACCCAGGTGGTGGTGGTGGTGGTGCGTGGACATGAGGCGTTGGGAAGGGGAGGTGCGGGGCCGGTCCACGCTCCGTTCACTGCCACTTGCACCCCCGACGCTGCTGCAGCTGCCGCTGCTTCCTACCACCCCACAGCCTCCCCGGTCTCTCTCCTGAGACGATTTATCACTTATCTGGAAAGGAAAGCCAGGAAGGCCCGACCGTGAGAGCCCCACCCAGCAGAGCCCAGAGCTCGAGCCTCCCAGGGGTGCCGGCAGCGGCCTTACCGTGGGGGACTTGCTCTTGTAGTGGCTGGCGTGCTGCTGCAGGATGTCCAGGGCTTTGGACTCGGAGCTGGGCTTACAGCTGACACTGGGGCTGGCACGGGCCTTGTCTGCCTCTTCTCCCCCTGACACCTTGCTGCCGTACGGGGAGAAAGAGTAGCTGGAAGGCAGGTAGGAACCTGGGAGGAGAAGAGGGCAATCAGCGGGAACCCCAGGATAGGGACCACCTTCCACCACAGGGGCACTACGCCCCCAGTTTCTGAGGAATCCACCTTCTAGATCCCAGTCTTGGGATCCATCCTGGGAGGTGCAAGAGGGTGGGAAAGTCCTGGGAGCTGGAGCCAGATGCTTTGGACTCACACCCTAGCTCTGAAACGGAGCAGCAGACCCACCACCTTTCGGAGTTTCCATTTCTTCCCCAGGGAAGAACCCACCCCGACATTAGGGTGACAGAGAGGATGCACGAGGACAGTGTGCATGAGTCACCTAGGACAGAATGCAGCCCCGCTATTATTACTGTTAATGTTTGTATTCTACTCTTGGCCATGCTGAGGATGGGACTTGGGGACTGTGATCAGGGGTGCTGAGCAGCCTCCCTGGCCACAGACATAATCGTCACTATCGTCATTAATCTTATTTATTTGGGGGCCACACCTGGCACCAAGCTCTGGGGCTGTTGCCGTGACACCCAGGGCCCCATATTGTTCAGGCACTAAATTGTGGTCAGCTGCATGCAAGACAAGAGCCTTACCCCTTGACTCTTTCCACTTCACCCTACCATGGGTGGGAGGCAGAGCCACAGGCCGAGCTCATCTGCGGTCTGAACAGCTCATCTGGCCCATCTGGAGTCTGCTTTAGAACACTGAGTCAGAATAGCAAGACTGTTTCAGAGAAACAGGGCAATCGTCTTGCATGGGGCCAACACAGCTCGAATCCTGGACCCTCCCCAGGGTCCCCCGAGCACTGGCAGGAGTGATTCCTGAGTGCAGTGCCAGTAGTAACTCCTGAGCACAGCTGGGTGTGGCCACCCTCCCCAAACCCAAAAAAGAACAGCGAGACCGTTTCAGCTGCTTTTGCACGGGAGATGCAGCTCTGAGACGTGAGAGCGGCCAACGCACGCCAGCTCCAGCATCAGTGAATGGTCTGGGTTTGAGCACTCTCTTGGTGAGTCTCCCCGCTGTACCCCTCCCCGGGACTCAAGGAGGGAGTGTGACGAGCTGAATCTCGGTTGCAGGAGAGAGAGTATAGTGGGTGGGGCACCTGCTTTGCACATCGAGGCTGGTCCGGGTTTGATCCCCAAGCCCGGACAGGACTGACCTCTAGATGCAGCGCCAGGAGTCAGTCCTCCCCACCTGTCCCCAGACAGTGGGATGTCTGTTTGCTGACTGCTCAATCTGACTTCCCACTACCTGTTCGTGTCAGTCTGTTTCAAATCCTACCCCAGTCTGCAGTTAAGGCTGACCAACACCTCGCAGAGATGAACACCAAGCACTGCATTCATTTCGTTTGTTCCATGGATCTGTCTGGCTACCTGAGGGCAAGCTCCTCAAGGGGAGGCGCTAGTCTTCCCTCTTCTGCATCCCCCCCTCCAGGATTCTTCAGTGTCAGAAGCAGGGTCCACATCTCCTGGCTGGGGCGGGGGTCACTTTCCATCAGAGATACCGGAAAACTGACTGCTGCAGTGTTAGGGAAAGAGAGGCGGCCCCCACAGCAGCCATCGAAGGTCACTCAGGAAGTGAGGGTCCTTGTGGCACCTCACAGACAGGACAACAGGATGTCACTGCAGCACTTCTGTGGGCACCCGGCATTGCTCACCTGGGTAGTTCTGCATCATGACGGCGGGCAGGCCCCGGTAGCTGGGGTGGCTCGGGTCGTAGGACTGGCTGTAGGAGTAGCCGTGCATGTAGGGGATGTAGGACTGGTGCTGAGTGAGGGGGGATGACACAGGCACGTGCACGCTGGGCCGGGGCTCCTTGCCCCCGAGGCGGGCCTCCTCGGTAGCGGGCAGCTTGCTGCAGTCACTACTTGTGCTTTCCTTGCTGTCTTCCTTGGGGACAGCGTCCTTACTCCGGCCCCGCTCCTCCTTCAGTTTGCGGTCCCGTTCCTCCTTCCACCGCTCATCCTCTGACTTGATGTCCGAGTACTTGGCAGGATACACATAGGTCCACATCCGGGGCTCTGCTTCCTGTGACCAGAACATGGGCAGTTCATCACTGGGCCCTGGGAACCCAGCACAATGGGGCTCTATAGATCCTCACTGACCATCAATTCTGGTCCTCCAAGGAAAGCCGACCCCTCCCTGCCCCCAAGAGGCCTCCCTTCCTACTGGGACAGTCACCTGCTGAGGGTGTTATTGAGGGTGCCAATAGGAGCCCAAACGACTACAGGCTGAGCACCTGGTGTGCATGGAGGCCTGGGTCTGACCCCACCCCAGCAAAGTGGGGTGTGTGCCCTCCCCTCATCCAAGCCAAACTAAGTTTCTGAGCTGAGTGTGTTGTGGTCTGAAATAATGATAAGGTTGACACAGGCTCCTCCTGAAAGAAGCCCACAAGGAGGAAACAGTGGAAACCAGCTCAAGTAGTGATGCCTCCATGAACCCAGAGAAGGCAGGCACTGGCTAACACAGATCTCTCATCATGTGCGAAAACACTTTTGCTATTTACAAACATGAGAACACAGAGAACACCAGACTAAGGTGATTCTCCCAAACACAGATTTATCTTAGCCTGACCCGACCCCATCTGCGCCCCAGTCAGGGCAGCCCTGATTTGGGAGGGAGGGAGAGAGGGGGAGAGATAGGGGATGACAGAGGGAGGGAAAGGGAGGGAGAGAGAAAGAGAGCGAGTGGAGATGGGGGGAGAGGGGGAGATGGAGAGAGAGAAGGAGGGAGGGAGGGAAAGGGAGAGAGGGAAAAGAGAGGGAGAGGTAGGAAGGGAGAAAGAGAGGGAGAGAGAGCGAGAGAGGGAGGAAGAGAGTGAAAGAGTGGGAGCGGAGGAGCTGGCAGCACCCCCACTTGCGCCAGAAGCGGTTACCTGCCGGTACCAGAGGACCGGGTCCACTTCTGCCTGTCTCCCACACTCGGCACCGACCTTGGCCTCAGGGGTCTCCTTGCCAAGGTGGCCGGCCTCACTCAGCTTCACTTTAAGTCCCTCGGGGCCCTGGATGGGCAGTTTGGATGCTTCGTCCAGCTTGGGAATGATGACTGACTTGGTGGGGTCAGTGCCTGGCTCCTTGGCCTTGCCGGGCCCCGCCTTGACCAGATCCGTCAGGCTGGAGGCCTTGGTGAGTGTGGGCGGGGCCGACGGCTTCTGCTTCCACTCCTCCTTGAGCGCAGCCTCGCGCTCCTTCAGGCCCAGCTCCGGCTTCTTGTCCAGCCCGCGCTTCTGCTGCTCCTCGTACTGCTGCCGGTAGGCCGTGCTGGTGCTGAGCAGGTGGCCGTGGTAGCTCTGGTCACCGTAGCCGTAGGGGGGAACGTAGGCGTACTGGTTGTAGTACAGGGACTGCATGTACATGTTGGGGCGCTGCTGGATGACGGACGGCTGCTGGCTGGAGCCGCTCAGCTCCGGCTTCTTCTCTTCGCCCGGGTCGGTCTTCCCCTTGCCCTCCCCGCTCTCAGGCTCCTCGTCCTTCTTTGTCTTCACAGCCTGGTTCTCCCCTCCTGCCTGGCCGCTGGGGTTCAGAGCACCTGGGCTCGACTGTGCGTAACTGGGCGAGTAATAACTCTCAAAGCCTTGGTAATAGGGTGAGTCTTTGCTCGGGGGCTGAGTGGGGAAGAGGGTTTTCTTAGCACAGTCCTTGACCAGCTGCTCAGGGTCCTTGGATTTGATGCTGTCCACTTTGCCCTCCCCGTCCTCCCCGGCGTCAGAAATGTCGGAGTATGCGGGGCTGCTGGTTTTGACAGAGCTGCCCTCGGCCCCGTTCTGGGTCACAACATGTAAGGGTGTCATCGGCTGGGTGGGGGTGGTGCTGTCCAGGCGGCTGCTGCCTCCGATGGAAGGGCTGGGGGCATTGTCGGTGAAGCTGTAGATCTTATCCGCTTCAGCCTTGATGCTTGCCAGGCGGCTCTGGTGGGGGTCTGAGGACCCGTTGAGGAGTCCCTCCACTTTCATCCCATCTCCTGCCGCTTCCCGGAACGGGCTTTTGCCTTCCTCTGTGCGACAGGCCTTACCAGGCGTCAGAGGGCTTTCCAGCTCCCGGGCACTCTCCTTCTTCTTTTTGTCCTTCTTCTTCTTGTCCTTGGCAGGCGTCAGGGTGGGGCTGACAGCGAAGGGCTCCCCCATTACGGTGGGCTTCGGCTGGATGGGCTTGAGCTGGGGGCTGCTGGGTATGGCCTGGACCACGGTGGTGGCCAGGCCAGAGGAGGAGCCGGGGCTGGCGGCCGTGAAGGCGGCGGTCTGGAAGGCATACACCTGCTGCGGCGGGAGGGCGGGGGCGATGGGCCGGGCTGCCTTCAAGCTCTTGGCAGGCATCTTTTCTGCCTTCAGACTGGCGGGTTTCTTACACTTCTCCTTTTCCAAACACTTCCTGTCCGTGGAGTCGAAGGCATCACTGCTGGTCTCGTCCATGACAGCGGGCCCATCGTCTGAGCCGTCGTTGGAGGAGGCCCCGAGGTCAGGGTCCACCTCCCCACTCAGCTTCTTCTTGCAGAGGCCTTTTGTGATGAACTTGCCAGACGGAGAAGGGCTGTGGGGCTCGACGAGTCGGACTTTGGGGGTGGCGGAGCGGGCTGGGGACAGGGAGCCTTTTTGTGCCACAGACGCACCATTGCAGCTGCCGATCTCCGTGTGGAGACCTGGTTCCTCCCCGCACTCACTGTCCCCGTCCGCTTCTGTCTTGCTGTCGTCGTCAGTGTGGGCATGAGCTTGGTGATACTTGAGTCCATTGATGTGCTTGTACTTCTTGTTGCAGTTTGGGTGGGGACAGTCAATGAGGACGGGGGAGGGACAGTTTCTGTCTACAACGGCGGGTTCCACCTTGGTCCCAGGGAGGGGGCCAGTGGCTGACCCCATGGAATTCGTGCGGATACGTTTGTTCCCCTTGGAGTCCTCTGAGCTGGAATTCAGCTCCATGTCAGAGAGAGGCTTGTTTTTCCGCTTATTCGCCGAGGAAGGGCTGGCCTTGACCTCCTCAGTGGTGCTGCTGGCAGGCGGGCGATGCTCAGAGGAATTCTGGCTGCCCCGGCGGCCTTTGCTGTTGGCGCCTGCCCGGGTTTTGCTGCTGCTGCTGCTACCTTTGCTGTCTGAGGCGGTGGCGGCCTCACTGACAGGCGTGTTGCTGTTGGGACGCATACGCTTGCCCCTGCCCCGGCCATTGCGCATTTCTAAGTCACTGGTAGGGGAGTCACAGAACCTTGGCAAGGGACAAACAGGATTATTAAGACAAAAGAGCTTCAAACCTGAGTTTAGCTGCAGACTCCAGAGCTGCCTGGATGCAGTTATCAAACTTTCAGTGACACTGACTGTGAAAGGGACCTGCAGGAGGGCGAGCTCCTTGGCTTCTGCACGCTGGCTCTGACCAGTCCCCCACACTGGGCTTCCCACACCTGGCAAACAGATCCTCCTCTTGGGAGAAAGCTGTATAGTGCCATTCATTGAAAGTCAGTCTGAAGGGAAGGAGAGGTCCTGAAACCCACACCGTGTAGCTTCAAAGCTGAAAAAGGGGTCAGGGAGATGCTCAAAGTGCTGAAGCACAGGCCTGGCATGCAGGACCCCTGGGTCGACCCTGATACTACATGGTCCCCTGGCACTTCTGTCCTGAGCCCCTTTGCCTTTGAGCTCAGTCTGCTCAGTGTGGACCCAAAACAACATTAAAAAAATATTTAAACACACACACACACACACACACACACACACACACACACACACACACACACACGGGCCAGGGCCACAGCTGAGGGGAAGAGTGCATGTCTTATATGCATGAGGCTGGGCAATCCCCCTTAAAAAGGTCAAATAAGACTCACAATATTCTGGCATTTAAGTTTCTGAGAGAAGAGCTGGGGGGTGACTCAAAGGGCTGGAGCACATGCTTTGCTCAGATTCAATCCCTACCTAGACCACATAGTACCCCGACGTTTTCTCCCTGAGAAATAGCTTCTATCAAAAAAGGCATCACTGGGCCAGAGAGACAGTACAAAATTTGCCTCGCATATGACTGACCCCAGTTCAACCCCCAGCACCACATAGTTCCCACTCACACCCCTGCCCACCCAGCAGCACTGGGTCTAATCCTTGAGCACAGAGCCTAGAGTAGCCCTAAGCACTGCTGGGAGTGGGGGGTGGGGTCAGCAACCACCCCCCAAGTGGGGAAAACAAATGGTGTCCTCAGTGAATATTTGTTCATGCAGACTCTATGATCTTTGCCTGAAGGTGGAATCCAGAATTTAATAATTCCAAATAAAGTCTTAAACAGGATCTCTTCCCTGTTCCACCCCACCTGTCAGTCCCTAACTCATTTTTACTCCTGAGTGGCAGGTGAATGCCAAGGGCTCCCTTGCCTCCACCCCATAACGTGCTGGGGACTTTTTCAAAGCTGTTGTACTCAGAGCAGCATACAGGGCGAAGGAGTGAAACATCAGGGGGCTTACCTGGGAGGTGCCCAATCATGCCTGGTGCAGTCTAGAAGTGTACCTACGTATGTCTTATTTCTCCACGTTACATTCACCACCAACATCCCTGCAAGACAAGAAGACTGGATATAGACACAGGGGAGCCTGCTGGGTCCCAAGATAAGCACTTCCCAGAAGAACTGCTCCAGTTTTGAGAGGAGCTGAAGGGCTGGCTGCTCTGGGCCCTACTGAAAAAGCAGGATTGGGCCAAAATGGCCCTGAGGAGCTGCCTACTGGAGGTCTGTGAAAGGGGCACTTACTGCAAAAGTTCTGTGGTCCGATAAAGGCAAATTTTCTTCTTGTGGTTTTATTTACTTTTTTTTTTGGAGGGAGGTGCACTCCTGGGTGTGTTCAGGGACCATATGTGATGCTAGAGATCAAACCACGGTTGGCTGCATGCAAGGCAAGAGCTTTAACTCCTGTATTATAACTCTGTTCCAAGGCACATCTTCTTAAGTAAAAAACAAAAACAAAAACAAAAAAACAACAAGTAGTGGAGGTAGACAGAGTACAGTGGGTAGGGTATAGCCTTGCATGATGGACAACTGGAGTTCAATCCCTAGCACCCAATATGGTCCTCCAAGTCCCACCAGGAGTGATCCTTGAACACAGAGCCAGGACTAACCCCAGAGCACCTGCTTTTCACATAGTCGATCCAGGTTTAATCCCTGGCAACCCATATGGTCCACTTGCCATGTCAGAAGTGATCCCTCAGTGCAGAGCCAGCAGTAAGACACACTGAGCACAGCCTGGTGTGGCTCAAAAACAAAAACTAAAAACCAACCCTCTCCCCAAAAAAGAACCTCTCATATACCTACCACCCAGCTCAATGGATTTGTAAAATTTTGTGCCGTATTTTGCAAAGCGGTGTGGCCTTTATTTTCACACTTTCTACTGATGGGATCATTCTGGGAGTGTAGTTTTCCTTTTTTACTTAGCACTGCACTGTAGTACTGTTCTCCCATTGTTCACTGATTTGCTTGAGCAGGCACCAGTAACGTCTCCATCGTGAGACTTGTTGTTACTGTTTTTGGCATACTGAATACACCATAGGGAGTTTGCCAGGCTCTGCCATGCAGGCAGGACACGCTAGGTAGCTTGCTGTGCTCTCCGAGAGGGTTCCTTTCTACTTAACATTATAAATTCATTTTCTATTTTCCTTTTTGGCGATTGCCCAGTGTGTGCAAGACAAGCGCCTAAACTCTTGGACTACCTCTCTAACCCCAACATTGCAAATCCTGTGATTGTTCTATGTTGACATAAAAACTTATCCTATTCATTTTAACTGTTCTCAAATATATATCACTGTATAACTTGGCCACAATTTACATTTGTCCTATTGATGAACACTCAGTTTCTCAGTATCTTTTTTCTTTTTGCAGGGCACATACTGGTGGTATTCTGGTCTTACTCATGAATCCACACTAAGGATCACTCCTGATAGACTCAGGGGAACATATGGGTGCTGCAGGCAAGCACCCTACCTGCTCCAGCCCTACTTTTCTGGCACATTTTTGATCTTAGATGACATTGCAACAAATATTTATGACATATTCATTTTATTTAAAAATACTTTTGAGAACCGGGGAGGTGGCTCAAAAGACACCACACAGTCCTCTCAGCACTGCCAGGAATGAAACCTGAATAGCAGGCTGGAAGAAGCTTGAGCACCGCTGAGTTTGGTCCCAAAACAAACAAAAAACTTTTCAATAGATAATATAGTCATACTCCAAAACTCAAAAGGTAGCAAACAAAAACCAAAATCACAACAGGGGCTGGAGAGCTAGTACCGAAGGAAAGGCACTTGTCTTGCATGTAGCTGACTCAGATTCCATCCCCAGCACTGCACAGGGTCTCCTGAGCAGTAGAAGCCCCGAAACAAACCCCAAACCCCCAAACTTAACAAACCCATATATATATACATGTATATATATATGTATATATATATATACATGTATATATATATAGTGTTCCTCCTGTCACTGTTTACCCCCACCCCCCTTGGCCTTTTTTGGGCCACACTCATAGGTTCTCAGGACTTACTCCTGGCTCTAAGCTCAGGGATCACTCCTGATGGGACATGGGGGACCATATTGGGTGCCAGGGATTAAACCTGGGTCAGACACACATGCAAGACAAATGCCCTTCTCGTGTCTCTGTTCTCAAGTCTTCCAGTTGTCCTACTCAGAATTATCCATCCCTACCCATGTATGCCTCCTGCCAAGATTTATAAGGAAAAGTTTATATATTCTTCCTAAAACTGAACCAATACATACAATGCTCTGCCCCCTTTTCTTCACTCTTTCACATAACCATTATATTTTTGATTATGAGTACATGAGATATTTCATGGTTTTCAAAAGCTGAATTAGAATGATTTTTAACATGTACCGTAATTTATTTTATTGGGCCCTAGTGGTAACACTTGGTTGATCTTTTCCTACGGAATTATCAATCTTTTTCTTACTTGTAACTCTCAATGTATTAGAAAGTCTTTTTTTCTTTAATACAAACCATGCATTTTTTTTTTTTTTTGCTTTCTTTCTGGGTCACACCTGGCGATCACAGGGGCTACTCCTGGCTCTGCACTCAGGAACTACCCCTGGCAGTGCTCAGGGGACCATATGGGATGCTGCAAATCAAACCCAGGTTGGCTGCGTGCAAGGTAAATGCCCTACCCGCTGTGCTATTGCTCCAGCCCCATGCATTTTCTTTTGATGTCATTTGCTAATGGTGATTAAAGCTATCTATAAATGAATTTATTTTTTAGGGAAGTAGAACTGCCTTAAGGAAACTCAGAGAAATGAGAGAAACAGAGACACATGTTCAAGAAATACAGGTCAGGGCCCAGAGTGACAGTACAGAGGGTAGGGCGTTTGCCTTGCATGCGGCTGACCCGGGATGGATCTCCGGCATCCCATATGGTTCCCAAGCACTGCTAGGAATAATTCCAGAGTGCAGAGCCAGGAGCAGCTCCTGAGTATCACTGGTGTGATCCTCCTACCAAAAACAGAAAAAGGGGGGGGGGGAAGAGGGAGAGATCACAGACTTTGCCAGAGTGGGAAGGTCCAGAAATTAATTTTTGATGTTGCCGCATTTATCAATTTTCTTATTTTTTTTGTTTTTCTGTTCTACCCACCTGTACTCAGGACTTATACCTGGTTCTGTGCTTGGGGATCACTCCTGGCAGGGTTCAGGGGACCTTATGGAGTGCTGGGAATTGAACATACAAAGTGCCAAGTCACTGTACTATAGCTCCCACTTCAAGGTCTATTTGTATTTTTAAAGTTTTATTTCTCTGGGGCCACACACAATAGTGCTTAGGGATCACTCCTGGTTGGGGGACCATATGGAGTGCTGGGGTTTGAACCAGGTCACCACAAACAAGGAAAGTGCCCGACCGCTGTACCACCACTTCAGTCCCATTTATCAATCTTTGATGGATTCAGAGGTTTTGTCTGTTTTAGAAGGCCCTGTCCTTATGGGTCCTTTTAGTATTTTATATTATGATTCTCTGGACTTTTGGTTGTCTTTTATCTGACCTCCTCTGGTAGTGCTCCAGGGACTCTCTGATGTCAGGGCTTGAATCCAGTCCTCTGATAGGTGAGCAAGAGATCCAGCCCTTTGAGCCACCTCCTTGGCCTCTATGTTGTGATTCCATCTTCGATCAGGAGACTGGAGAGATATTACAGGGTAGGTACTGAACTAACCTGGTTCAGATGTTGGCACCACACAGTCCCTGAGAATCCCGTGAGCCCTGGAGGCCCCTGAGCACAGCAATGTGGCACCTCACAGCTGCAGCCTCACAGAGCCCAACAGGCACTCCATCTGTGGGCCCGAGGACTGCAGCTGCTGCCTGCCTGACCAGGAATCACCCCCAGGGACTTCCAAGTACCACCTGGGAGACACAAATCCTTACACAAATCTTGGAATGATTTGAAATTTCACCTGGTATAAAGTGTCTGGCAAGGAATGGACTTGTGCACTGTGCTAGGGAAGCTCCCAGGAAAGATGCCAGTGGCGGGACTGAAATCCAGGCTTCACGCATCCAAGGGAGAGGATCCCACTCTAACACACACTCCAGACCTCAACTTTGGGAGTGTTCAAGAGTTATCCCAGCAGTGCTCGGGTGATCTTATGCGATACTACCCAGTTTCATCAGGGGATGAAACTGGGACCTGCCACATACAAGGCAAGAGCCCTACCCCAGTACTACTCTGGCCCCTGAACTTAATTTTCTGATCTGTTTTTTGGGACATTTTTCCTACAAAACTTTTTTTGTTAACACCAGAGAGATAGTACAAGAATTGAAGTGCTTGCCTTGCATTCCACCAACTCTGGTTTGAATATGTAACACCACATATAGTCTCCTGAGCACAGCTGGCGTCAATCCTGAGTACGGAGCCAGGAACAATCCCTCACTACTGTTGGGTATAGTCTCCATCACCTCCCAAAAGAACTTATTGTTTGTCTGCCCGACTTTCTGTACTATCTCTCTGGTCCCTATTTATTTTTGGCCACACCTGGCTGTGCTCAGGGCACCTTATGGGGTGCTGGGGAGCAAACCTGGGATGGCCACATGTAAGCAAAGTGCCCAGCCTCAGCCTCTACATTTTTAATAGAAAAAATTGAATTTTATGTGAAAATACATGAAATTCAGATATTGTTGCCCATGAGCAAAGCTGTATTAGAACCAGCCATAGTGTATAACTGCATTAGAATGATTTTTTTTTGGCTTTCTGCATCACACCTGGCAATGCTTAGGGATTACTCCTGGCTCCACACTCAGGAATCACCCCTGGTGATTCTTGGAGTGCTTGGTGGTGCTTGGAGGATCATATGGGATGCCAGAAATTGAACCCAGGTTGGCTGCATGCAAGGCAAATGCTCTACCTGCTGTACTATTGCTCTAGCCCCTAAGATGATTTTTAAAATGTACCATAATTTATTTTATTGGGCCCCAGTGTCCTACACTTCGGTTGATCAAAATTATTCACTTACATATGATCTGTGCTTGACTCTGTGTCCTAAGACTGCGCTCAGTATGAAAGAGTGAACGGGTCAGCT